GGTAAATCCTAGCGACAGATGCAGCGCCTAACGGTGGGGGTGAGTGGATAAGTCTCACAACCGCTGGCACAAGTGCCGAGAACGACCCCATTAGCTGCATCCATGTACCCCTTGTGCCTGGCCACAAGTTCCCAGTTGACTGTGGGTAGCAGCACGGCTGGAAAAACCGCTCCCAGGCAGGACTTGAACCAGGTACCTCTCGTATCTCAATCATGGTCTTTGACCAACCCACTGTGCCTGCCACAGTGCTGCCAAAAAATTACAGGGTGCAACAAAAAAATCTTTCCTTGCAAGGGCACATTTTCGCCCATAACTCTTGAACGGCTGGTCAGATCGAGACAAAATGTTCAGAGATTTTGCACCTATTCATGCTCTTTCAACTGATGTAGCACTGGATATGAATTTACAAATTCGATTTTTTAGGAATTTTACGACCAGGCTGCCCCTTAAGGTTGTGGCGCGGGTGGTCGTTATGGTGGTGGTGGTGGTGGTTGTGGATGTTGTTGTGGTGGTGGTGGCGGTGGTGGTGGTGGCGGCGGCGGCGGCGGGGGCTGTGGCGGCGGTGCTGGTGGTGGTGCTGCTAGCCTGGTCTACTCCACACGGCTGTTTGAATTAGCTTTTTCTGGCCAATGAATGTTAACCACTCAGAAGAATGAAAGATGAGCGAGGAGAATGAGAAAGAGAAGAAAGGCGTGTGCGACCATAATCGTCGATAATTGCGCCCGCAACCTCTCCATAAAAAATCGACTGCACCTACCACTGCACCATATGGCCCACATACGGGTTGGTATGGTGGAGCAGAGAAGAATAATGTGCACACAACCAACCTGATCATGTGCTAACTCTGCAGTCAAGTGTTACAGGCACAACTTGGGTAGTAAAAGAACCGAGTACTCCAAATAAGTATAATCTGACTATCCTGCCTCTTGGGTCAGGTGCAATTCCACTCAATTTCCAGCCAAGACTCGGACACTTAGTGATGTGATTTACGTTCATAACTAGTAAGGAATGCAAGATCTTTACGAGTCTTGACTTATAGACAAACCGACAAAGCACTCACCATCCATCGTGCGAAAATGCTCTCATACCAACCGTGTAGCAAAGAGCTAAACAGAGACATATAGAATGATGGATTGATAGAAAGATGGAAATTAGCACAGAAAAGGAGAAGAAACCCCAGAGATTGTGAGTTGGAGGGAGGAAGAAAGAGATATGACGACCAAGAACAGGATACATGTCAACATCAGTACTTCCCCCCCCCCCCCCCCCCCTCCCCTACCCCCCCCCCCCCCACATACACACACACACACACACAAACACACACACACACACACGCACATACACACACACACACACGCACACACGCACACACGCACACACACATACACACACGTACACCCATATACTGTGGTGGACATGGAAATTCGATCGGAGGTCAGGCGGCCCCAGGGCGCTGGCCATGCAGTCGTGAGTACGTACAGTGAAACCTGTCTAAGGCGACCCCTCAAGGGACGAGAAAAAGTGGTCGCCGTGGCCAGGTGGTCTCTTTATCCAGGTTCAGTGGGTCACGTGACCATATCCACATGTGACACATCATTTTGATCAGTGTATCACAGTGCACACACCTATGCTACTCTAGCACGACTCATGTGCCTGGGGTACTCAGACCTGTCAAGTGTCGTGCATGCACCATGTACATCTACACTTCCTGCACTGATGTGTAGATCTACCATGCATGGTGCACCATGCAATGCGTACATTTACATGTACTAGCACTGAGCAACGCGGTCGCGGGTGGGTGGTCGTCGGTTACGTTGAGCGAGTGGTCGCCTTATCCGAGGGGTTTTGAACGTGAATGCGTCTGTGACAAGGAAAAGTGGTCGCCATGGTCGAGTGGTCGCCATATCCGAGTGGTCGCCATGGTCGAGTGGTCGCCATATCCAAGTGGTCGCCATTACAGGTTTTAGTGTATATGGTACACACACGCAGCGTTCAGTATACACTGAGTGTGTAGACCCTGGTCATCTGACCGGATTTCCATGTCCACGACAGTACCTCATTGAGTCATAGTGTGCAGGTAGGGAACAAGAGCAGCTGCAACACACGATCATAAGGGTGTTGACCCAGGTAGGCCTGGAGCAGTCTCCCTTGGGGCATGGCAGATTTTTACACCCTCGCGTATTACATCGCTTGTCTTGGTCGCGCTCGGGATCAGAAGGTCAAGGCGCTGATATGAAGTTGCATAGACCATGGATTATGTAGAACTTCAAAACACGTTCCAAACACATTTCCCTTCTCAAACACTGATTTGTTTGAGGCATGTCGAACAGTAGGCCTTCCCTATTTGGACACTCCGATCTACCGGGCACTCCTGTCAACATAGCACTCTTACGAGTCTACAAACACAATACATTAATTTGTTCCCGTAGCTATGCAAAAAACGTTACTTCAGTAACGTCTGGCGCTAGCCAGGGTCCACACAGCTTTAATTGTGTTTGTTTGTTTCTTTGTGCCTGACGAGGTCGGCATGCCTGGCGCTATCCCGTACATGTCCCGTACCATGGAAGACAGCTGCCCGGCATGCCTGGCGCTATCCCGTACATGTCCCGTACCATCGAAGACAGCAGCCCGGCATGCCTGGCGCTATCCCGTACATGTCCCGTACCATCGAAGACAGCTGCCCGGCATGCCTGGCGCTAACCCCTACATGTCCCGTACTGTACCATTAAAGACGCATCCCCTATGTGTTATGTAACGTAATGTAAATTGTTCCGTTTCATTGTTTGTTTGTGCCTGACGACATCGGCATGCAGTGCGCTATCCCGTACATGTCCCGTCCCGTACCATCAAAGACAGCTGGCCACCTTATTCAAATAGGGCTTTCAAATGCAAGATCATAACGTGAAGCAACTTGGAAGAAGGTGTATGTATGCAAAGTTTATCAGGCGAATGCATTTAGTGCGATAGTGCGGGCTCGAATCCCATGGTATGTCTTGAAAAATTGGAGAAATGAAAAAGTATAAAATCGCTATGCTTTTTTTGCCTAGGTCATCAAGGTTGTAGACGGTGTCGTATTATCGCATTACCGCTCGAATGGTTTTGGGTGTGCTGCTAATGGGCCGGGCATGTCTTACAGCAGAAAGTGTCGACAGGAGTGGCTACACAGAGAGTAGGAGATGCCGCCCCGAGAATCGCCGTGCCTGCGAAAGGCTACGCCGACAACAAGAAACAATGGAGCAAGTATCCCGTCGTTTGGAGACCCGCCGATTTCGTGAAAAGATAGGTCGACAGCAAGAGACCGCTGAAAAGGCATCCAGTCGGCAGGAGAAAAGACGTGATCATGCCCGAACTTGTTCGGTGTGCGGTGACTGCGGTCCGTAGGCATCGGGCCGTCGCATTATCGTTCGAATGTTAGAGAGAGAGAGAAAGAGAGA